ATACCACAACCACCAGAAATGCCCATGTTTCTCACAGAACCATCTATCAGCCATGTTACAAAAATTTTAGGTATTAAAGATTAATTGAAACAGACACTATGGCATTTTTCAAATACAGGCAGGATGTAAAAATCTGTAAAATACATACTAATAATGATGAGTTAACAAAAACAAAGTTCAGTTTGCTGGACATTTGCCAAACCCAGCAGGAAATTCACAAACACCAAACATAGTGGCAACCCCCAATAAAGTCAATGGGAGCTGAATCTTGTAATTTTTTTGGCCTTTATCAAGGCCAGTTTGCAAGCTTTTGTTATGAATAGACATGGGTTGCTGGGAACCTCCAAAGTGGATATTTTTTAATGCAAACATTTTTTATTTTAAAAAAATGCCATTCAGGCATCTGGTCTTTTATTTTAATCCAGCTTATAATGAACAACATTAAAAATACACATATCCTTTAAATAGCATGCTTTAAACTTGCATGTGAAGTTGTGCCGCCAAGTAACTAGGGCTGCAACTAATGGTTATTTTCATAATCGATTAGTTGGCCGATTAATCTTTTTCGATTACCTGTAACATACTAAAGAGCCGCCGATTGCTTGTATGTGAAACAGCCGGTAACGGCTGTGTACAACGGACGTTTTTTTGTGCCCGTGCACACGCGCTAGGGGGCGCGCGAGCAGAAAAGCCGTCTATTTACGGCAACCTGCCAATGTGAGTTTGCCGTCTGTCCCTTTTTTTTTGCAAGTGGTTAAGAGAACATTGGGGAAAAACACTTACCCCATAGTTCTCTTTTAAATATTTGTGTTCAGAAATGGCTCTAAAAAGATTCCTTTGCTAGCAGTCATTTTCTAATGTCATGCGGAGCAGCTAACACTGGTCTACAAGGAGAAAGCCTCGGAAATAAAAGCTACATGTGACCAGAATTGAGTCACTAATAAAGAAAAATTAAGTCCTGAGTATTTATCGGCTCCAGTTTCCAAGACACTGCTTCAGGTCAAAATTGCATCAAAATAATACAAAATTACGAGGGGGATGTGCGATTATGCTCCATAACTTAAATTATGATTTAGATGTGGTTATGGAGGAGCATACGGCGGGCTAAAGTTTGGGTACGCTGATATTGACGGCCCCGGATCAGCTGCATCCTGCGCATCGTCTTTAGCATCACCTGAGTATAGAGAGTAGGATTCTGGTGGATCTGGAATAGGCAAGTCCTCACCATGAGGTACATGACACAGTGATCCCTTTTGCAATTGGAGAACCATGAAAAAATAGCAGTCGCTACTATGATTGGTGGGTTCCCTCAACACCATTGGGACTGCGAAAGGCATTGGCTTTTTCTTCTTGTTTAGCCAATGACACAGATAAGTTGCACATGCAATGCAACAATGATGAGGGGTCCAACTTTTGTCCTGATCCTCTATTTTGCATCCAAAATATAGGTGTATGCCTTTTTTTACCACTGCCGTGATACTGCACTTTTGTATTTCAAAGTTTTTATTGGATTTCCATTTTTATAGATAGATATATTGTTACAATCAGATAACATGTGTAGCACAGCAAATCATCCAATAGACTTCAATATCAACACTACCAACACTATACCCCCCTACCCTCTTTATAACTGCTCGAAGCTTTGATAGCCCATTAGATTTGTGTTATTGTACCATAGTAGCGATCTGCTTTATGTCTGGGGGCTGGTACTTCTAAATAATTTCCTCTTACTATTAAAAGTACGGCTAATTCTCACTATGTCTACACATGATAATTCCCTCCGGTGGGCTCGTTCACCTCTCTACGGAGAGTAGCAAAAAATTGAAAATGTATTTAATTAGAGAAAAAAAAAAAAGGACAGAGAAAGAGAAGAAATTGCAGACTCCTAAGGTCATAATGCCTAATACAGTGCTTAACCTGAAGATACTGCACTTTTGATATGCAAATGTGACCTCACCACAAATGTAGCAGAAGTTATCTGCATTGTTTACACAGTTTCGAGGCATCTTGGCTTCCGAGGGAAAATATCATGCCACTGTACCTTGGAAATGTTAGGCATTGGTACTTTCACAAGCCACCAGATGTAACTATATGATGCGTAGATCTGACAAAAATGTACCTTGCAATAACAGAACAATAAATTACAGTTAAGTAATAATCTTTAGTCTCAAAGTGAAGATAAATGTATACACTTCCATGTGGTACCATTTTCATTGTTCTACCGTACTTTGTCCATAACCGTAAGTTACGAGGTATCATGATCATCAGACATCTCCCTCCCTTTTAGGCAAATATACATCTGTGTATAAATCTTTGTTGTGAAATATCTTGAAAACTTTAGCCAACCAGCACCTTTTATCACCTGTTTTCTAATTCATCTAATCAAAATATGTAAGAATTAACAAATTTTATCTCAGAGGTTGATAATTTCCCAAAATTTGTGGTGTAATCTGTCAGGATCACTCTTAGGACTGTAGAACACACTACCAGTAAGAAGCAGACTGTTGCAGTGACAGCAATGAGTAGAAAGTCAATAACTCCCCTGGAAATGCTTGATCAG